AAATTAGAAATTGACAAAAATACCTACAAAATGACAAAATTATTCAATTTTACAAAATTGAAATTTTGGATAAATTTTAAAAAAAAATCAATTTTTTATTTTTTTATTTTATATATTTTTCGCCGGTCCGGTTTGGTTTCAAACCATAATTAAAATTCTCAAACCTAAACCAAACCGTTTTGACCGATTTGGTTTGGTTCAAAACCATTTCGTTGACGGGTCCACGTGGCACCAAACTGCCGGTTTCGAAATTGCGGTTTCGGTTCGGTTTTCCAGTTTGGCGATTTTTGCTTACAGCCCTAGGCATTGATGCAGCGTGGAGCGAGATAAACACTTTGACCAACAACTCATTGGTTTCAAAAAATATCGAAAATAATGATCAAATAATTTGGAATAAGAAAAAAAAACCGAAGTATGAAGTATAACTATTTATTGAATTCTCAAAAGCTTTGAACTACAACGTTTTGTGATCCTCCCTTAATCCATTTAGGTTAATGCATTTTCTTGATGAATGAGTCAACCATAAATTCGTGGACATTAGGTACATCTACAAGAATGAGAATTTAAGGACTATTCTTTTTGTGTTTGAGTTTTGTATTTTAAGTTTTGAATTCCTTTTGAATTTTGTGTTTTGAGTGTCTATTTTGAGATTGTTGAAAATGTGTTTTTTTACATTTTGAAAAATTATTTTGAAAACAACCAAAACTTGTTTTGAAAATTTTGACTTGATTATAAGTGAAAACACTGAAAACAACAAATTTGTCGTTTTGGATTTTCTTTGTAAATTTTTAATTTGTTTTCAATAACGCATTTTCGAAAATGGGAAAAAAAACGCGTTTTCACTGTTTTAAAAAATCGAAAACAGAAAACGGCTTGAAAATGGTAAAGAGAACCTAATATTTTAGTAGTGTTGTTTTTTTTTCAGATTTAGTGTCTGCCATGAAGGATTTCAACTCTAAAAGAAGAAAATTGTTATCAAAATATAATGTTAATGATAGGAATTATGGGTGAATATGGTTTAGTTTGGACGGTTTGTGGCAAACTTTCAAACCAAATCACTTAAAACGATTTGAAATTTTCCTGAACCAACCTAGTCTCTCCAATTTTTAAACCAAGCCAAACAGCTTTTTTCAACTTCGTTCAGCTAAAATCACGATTTAGCAAACAAAAAAAGAACATTTAATGTACAAGTTAAATCATGGATATTAATCTAAAAGGGTTAATTTCATAAATGGTC